GGTCTCCAAGATTAAGCTTTAATTCTCGAATAAAACCATAATTATGTAAAGTAGCTTTGCTAATTTTGCTTCCCAACAAAGAGACTGGGGCAATTTGAGCCACATAAGAAACTCTTCCACTACGGGTAATTTCTACTTGGATATCTTCAATTTGACTTAATGCCACCGAAGCGGGAAATTTATAAGCCATAGCCCAACGCGGAAAGCGGTTAGTTTGTCCTAACTTTTCATAATGCTCGTATGCGTTAACTTTAATTACAATTCCATCAATTTCAAATTCTAAATGGTCGCGTTGTTGCTTAATTTCTTGAAAGTAGGCTTGCACTTCTTCTAAATTTTGGCAAACTCGATAATAAGGGCTAGGTGGAAATTTTCATTGAGTTAATTTTCTTAAACAAGTTAACTGGTTATTTATGGCACCATTAGTTCCAAGAATTTGATAAGCAAAAAAATTTAACTTTCTTTGTTGGGTAGGAATTAAAGTTCGGACAGTCCCCGCGGCCGCATTCCGCGGATTAGCTAAGGGAGATAAACCTTTTTTTATTAATTCTTTATTTAAGCGCTGAAACTCAACTTTTTGTAGGTAAATTTCTCCGCGAATTTCAAGGCTGGCGGTTTCCTCAGGCAATTTTTTTGGTAAATCTTGCAGTAAAGAAAGATTAAGACTTATATCTTCGCCGGTTCAGCCATCACCACGAGTAACTAACTTGTTTAATTCTCCGCGGGAATAATGTAGACTAGCCGATAACCCATCAATTTTTAACTCACAAAGATACTCTATTTGATTAAGCCCTAACTTTTTTTTTACTCTTTCCTCAAATTTTACTAATTCTTCGTATTTATCGGTACTCTCTAAACTAAGCATAGGAGTTTTATGCTTAAAAGGGTGGAATTTTTTTATAACTGAGGCTCCTAGTTTTTGAGTTGGCGAATCCGGTAAAACAAAATCGTATTTTACTTCTAATTCCTTTAACTCTTGAAAAGTTTGATCGTAAACTTGATCGGCCACGGTGGGCTTGTTTAAGACATTATATTCGTAATTCCACTTTTCTAACAACTTAATTAACTGTTGCATTTTTTTGGTAGAATAGCCGGTGGAATAGTCATACAAAAATTAACTTAACAAGAGAGGTAAAAAACTCTAATTAAATATTTTACTCTATAAGGAGCAAAAACCACCTGAGTTGGTCGCTTTATTCTTCGTCACTTGGAGCAGTTTCTTTTTTAGCTTTGGCGACTTGAACGGCAATTCCGACTAAAATAATTAAGCCGACCGCTGCACCTCCGATTATAGCCGCTTTGACTCCGGTAGTTTGTCTTGTTCATCAGCTTTTTCCTTTATCATCCTCCGTGGCGAGCTGCTTGGAAGTTGCAGGAGTTTGTTTTTTTAGTTCTTCTAAATGTTTAATAGCTCCCTCTACTTGCTGATTAAGAGTGGGCGAGTGAACGACGACGGTTTCCTTTTGGTTTTCTTTTAATTTTTCCAGTAAATTTTGGATTTGCTTTACTTCCTTGTCATTCTTTTTATCATATTTTTGTTTACTTAGTGCTTGGTCTATCTTCTTTAATATTTGTTGAGCTCGGTCTAGATTAGTTTGCTTTTCCTTTTCAGAAGAAGAAGAAGAAGAAGAGATTTCTTTGACAATATTATTTACGGAGTCAGCATCAACTTCTTTTAAACCCAGTTGTTTTACAATCTCTTCTCCCTTAGAAGTGCCATCAGTAGATGGTTTTTTGTCTTCTTTACCTTTATCTTTGCCTTTTTCATCAGGTTTTCCTCCGCTGGGAGTAGAAGGACCGTGGCCACCACCGCCTCCGCCACCTGGACTTGGATAATTAGGACCTTTTTTATTTTTTTCGGTATCAATTAAAACAATTAAACGGTCTCTTTCCGTATTAATTGAACTTGCATCATTTTTATTGCGGATATCTTGTTCTCAATCACTTTTTCCTAGCACGGTATTTTTGTCTTTGCCGTTGATTTTACCAGTATCGGAACCGCTTTTGTCTTTTCAATGATTATTAACGGCTTGAATGGCTACATCTTGAATTTGGCTTATATTAGGACCGGGCTGTTTTTCTTGGCGGATCAAGGTAATTTGTGTTTTGGCGTTATTTTCCCGAGTGGTTAAATCGTTTGCTGAGGCAAGTACCGCTTATAATAATGGATATGACTCTGCTGATATTCGGGATAAAGCCAATGCTGCGGTTCTAGAAGAAGGCGCAGATGTTCGCAGCAAATATGCCCCAACAGTAAACGGCACTCCTGATGCTACTCATTTAGGCTTAGTCTATAATCCATTAACTATTACTAAGGACCAAGCAGACCTTATTGAAAATCCTACCACTCCAATTAATGATTTAACTACAATTATTAACGGTGTTTTTTCATGATGACCGACGCTTAGCCGCTAAAATGGCGATTGCTTTACGACAAGACGACACCGGCGCGGCTTGAACAGGCGGTTTGACTGCGGCTGAACGACAGAAAATTAAAGTTGCCACTGACCAGGCGGGGGTTGATACAGCAGTCGCTAACATAAAAGCCACTCGAAACCCTTATATTCCGCCACCACCTCCTCAAACAAATTTACAAGATTTAATAAATGCTGCTATTGCTCGTATTCAAACTGAAATGCAAAACT